GGGGGGGGAGAGAACCTCTGAGAATCTGCTTCAGTTTGACTCCACCTATCTCCTCGATAATTACTAGTCTTCCCCATCGCCATCAGATTACCTACAAACAAAAAACCCAAAACATACCTGAAAGCCACTAACCATTCGTCACAAACACTCCCTTTAAAGAATCTAGAAAAAAAATTAGAATAAATAAACCCCCATTCTAGTGCTCGGGGGTCCCATACATCGAGGTGCACTCAGTGGTTCACTTTAAGTTTTAGTGCTGCTACCCAAATTCCCATCCTTTTATTTAAATGTTCACCCATCTATTTCAAAACTTAACCCTTCTATTTGAAACAGAATGAAACAAAAATCTTTCTTTGGGGCTGAGCCTTTCAAAATTGAATTGCACACCTGAAATTTTCAAGGAAACCCATATCACCCTTTTGAATTATAGGTCGATTTTTCCCTTTCATTTTCCGAATGCTGGGCAAGAAGTCTACAAGGCAATAAATCAATCAATGGAAACAACTGCAAAATCATAACAAGATAAACACTATGCATGCGGCCGTTTGGCAAAGCATAGAGAATGAATAAAGATAGCGCTCACTAAGCATTCCCCACTCCATGGGAGCAACAGCTTGCTGTCGCGTCGCTTTATTTTTGGATGCTCAGACATGTCAACCACACAGCCTGAGCACTCTTTCTTACATTCTTTTTTTTTTTTTTTTAAAGGAATTTTTAACAATTTATGTTGGTGTTTTTCTGCCCCCATCGACAAAAGATAAATCATACGACAAGATGCGGGTCCTGCCTGTCTCGGCCAACCCAAGCTGATAAAGACGCGATTTAACAGCCCAGGAGAAAGACCTTGATCCTCGATTTTTTTTTTTTTAATCTCTCCACTTGGGAATCGAATTCAGGTCTCCTGTGCGCGACAAGGAAACGCCAAACTACTACACCACAAATACCGGTCTTAAATTTGTGCTCGCCAGAGAAAAATAAACCCGGGAAGTGTGTCGCCCCCGATTCTCCCCAAAGCAAATCAAACGGGAGATTTCAGCACTCCCCGCTGCGATGACGACGCCTGCCTGCCTCCATCCATGTTCCCAACGACGCCACGGGTTCAGCGCCCCCTTTTCAATTCAGTAAAACTTTTTACGAACCTGAAACTCCACAACTTTATTTAAACGACCATCTCCGAAGGGACTCTGGGGCTATGTGACTTCTTTCCAGCGTGCGTATACACTCAAGTATACACCACAGATATGGCATGGTACGGTGGTAGGTTTAAGTCCTCGCCCGAGTTTGTTCCTTCTTCGCTACCCCCCCCCCCCTAACTTTTTCTAGCTCCCTAGATTTCACTTTCTTAACAAACAAGACAACCCTATTAAAATTTCTAAGCACTGCACTTATTTTTCCAAGCCATTGGTTTCTGCTTCCCTCGCGCTGCCTCAAATGGCCACAATAAATGCATACAGCGCTTGACCAAGACCGATGTTCTTCCCATTTCTACCAGTTCACTTTGTTTCTCCCACACAAAACCCACTGCGCACTTCGTTGTGTTTCACGCCTACACTAACTCGATATTACGTCCGGTATCAGGTATTGACAAACATCAGAGGCTGGACAACTCGGGGGGTGGGGGAATCAGGCGACGTGCAGCTTCCTCATGAGTGGGGGAAGGTGAGAGAGAGAGAGAGAGAGAGAGAGAGAGAGAGAGAGAGAGAGAGAGAGAGAGAGAGAGAGAGAGAGAGAGAGAGAGAGAACACCCCCACCCCCTAAGACTGGGAAATGATTATATTCACTTTAATGATCTTCCTGGGCGGGTACCGGAAGAGAAAGAAGGTCAACGCAAATACGATATTTAATGGATGACCAAACTGAGATGGGGGGAGAGAGATATAACATTTAGCAAGAGCACGAAAATTACTGTTATTAATGCACATGGACTTCGCCCGCCACTTTACGGACAGGCGCAGGCAATACAAGGACACACATCAAAGCAATGGACCCATCAAAGCGCAACGCCGAGGTCCACATAAAAAAACACCCTCGGCCACTGGTCGGCAATCGACTGGCTGGGTCCAGCCTTCAGG